ACCCAGTCACCTGCAAGCAGCATGGGGCAGGACAGTGTCAGCGTGGGCCCCACACTGGCACGCTGCCTGGTCAGAGTAGGTGCGCGGTGGGTGCCTGATGAAAGAGAAAGTGGGGAGCATTCAGCTGCATTAAGAACTCATGGGTGCTGCCCAGCCATTCCCAGGGCGTCCTAGCGGCCGGCAGAAAAGCCCACTCCTCTCTGAGACTCAGACTCCCCATGAAATTAAAAATTGCCAGAAAGCAAGGAAGAGAATTAATAACGTTGCCCCAGAACTCAGCCTGAAGAGGCAGTGGGGGCAGCACACGGCATTATGTCCCTGGCCCTCTGCACAAGTCCCATCCGCGAGTCCACCCCACTGCAGTGGCTCCTGTGTGCCAGGCCCTGTGCGGGGCTGGGGATCCTGAGGGGAGCGTGGTGCGGCTCCCTCCCATGCTGAGAGCTACACTGGAGGCTGAGGAACTCCCAGGCCCAGGGCCAGAGGCAGGAGAGGAAGGGCAGACAACAGAGAAAGGCAGGAACTCAAGGAGAGATGAGAGAGGAGAGGCCCAGAGAAGCCGTGTAAGTTGTCCAGATTCACCCAGCCAACGGGGGAGCTGGGACTCGGGCACCGGTGGTTGGCCTCGTCCCCACTCTACTCCGCTATCACAGTCAGTGGGCACTTGCAGTGCTTCCAGGAAAGCAGATACTCATTCATAGTAACTAAAGCCCAGGTGAGGAGGAAGGGAAGTAGCAGAAGACGGAGTCAAAAATCAGGCTAAGCTGGATCTAAGGGCCGCGAGGCCATTCTGGGCTTTGGGCTTCGTGCTCCCAGTCTGGGACCTCAGGCGCTCTGTCACCTGAATGCCTGCTGGTTCAGCACAACAGAGCAGAGGCCAGGAGCAGGTGTGGGGTGGGGGTTGGGGTGGGCCATGCCAAACTAGGCAGTGCAGGACATGGCGGGGCTCAGTGGAGGGGGTGTGGTTAGCACCTGACCATCTCTGAAGAGGAGGAAGTCCGTAGGGACCCAGGGGCTCTGGTCTGGGTGGGCGGTGGTGCTGTCAGTGAGACTGCCCAGGGGAGGAGGAGCGTAGATGACAAGTGTTGTGGTGAATGGTGAACACACATCCTGCCCAGAACCCTTGCCAGCCCAGTGTGGTGCTTGCACCAAGAAGGTGCCCAGCAGACGCTGCCATGAGTGAGCTGTGCGGGGGCCCCCTGTGCCTCCCTCGCATGAAGGCAGAGAATTCTCCTCCCAGGGGCTCCTGACCCCTGCACCACCCACTGGTCCTTTCCCCAGTCCCAGTGCAGAAACCTTTCGGTATCCTGACAAAGAAACGTCCTGCAGTTACTCTACACTCCCCGCCTGCTTATCTCCTGTCTGCTGCCTGCTGTCTGTCAGGACTCTGGCTAATCCTTCTCCCATACGACATGAGCAACTTTTTGGCAAAGTTCCTTTTCTATAAATGGGAGGTTCCTAAAATGACATGGCATGGGTGACCTGCCTGCCTCCCTGGCCTGCCTGTGTCCTCTTTGTAAGAAGGCCAGCCGCACCCTCCGCAGGGTATCCTAGCTAATCGGCTATGGGCTCTGGTTTTGAAAATGTAGCTAATATTTCACAGGAAATCAACCCAGCTTCTATAGAGTCTGATACTGTTGAATCAACTCTATGCAAATAGCTGTTGAAATAGTTCTTTGGGGTCAGGTCTCTCCCCACCCACTCTGTCCGCCTCTCGGTCCCCCCACCCCCCTGCTCGTTCTGCTGACAGGGCCCTCTCCGCACAGTGGGTGAAAGCTGTGAGCCCCTGGCCCAGAAGCATCTTGCTGGGGGCGTATCGGCAGAAGGTTGTTCCCCCGGTAAGTAATAGGGACACTTACCCACGTGGCAGGGACCACGCAGTCATCTCATCCAGCACCACCATTTTACAGATTAAGAAACTACGGCTCAGAGAGGAGAAGCGTCTGGCACACAGTCACGTGGTTAGTGGGGGGCACAGCCAGGCCTGCTGACTTCCACCCTCCCAAGACCTTCCGGTGACCCATTCCAACAGTTCACAACTTTTACTTTTCCTGTGCAGAGGAGAGACTTTTTTCTAAAGAGCTGACTGAGTCCCAAGCAGGAAACGCCTGGACTTGAACTCCTCTTGCTCCTGATGGCAAATACCATTTGGTATCCCCTGCAGACACTAAATTCTTCGCCAGAGGTATTGCCCCAGCGGAGGGAGGGATCCCCAATGACTCACTCACTTCCTAATTTCTTCTGACCTTGCTGCCTCCTGGCTGACCTGCAGGCTCCAGCCCTCTCTGCGACTGGGAAGCTGTGGGCGAGAGCAGCCTGCCCACAGTGCGATCAGCACTGCTCTTCTCCTGGGGCTGCATTTCTCAGAGTCCCCCACTCCTTCCTGGGGAGCCATGGGTTTTTTCCTTTCTTGCATAATTTGATTTTCATCCCTTTGGACTGAAAATTCTGCTCCTCATATTTTCACCTTCTACACCAAAGCTCCTACCAAAGCAAACGCCCTAACACAGCCAGAACAGGCTGGAGCTCAAGTCCCAGACAAATGTCAGAAGCGCTCCCAACACCTGCCCCCAGGCCAAGGGGCCCAAAGCTTCCAGGAAGCGATGTGGTCTGTGAGATTCAGCACAGCGCCGCCTCCTGGGGGAGAGGGGCAGGACACTGTGACCCTCCATTCAATCTGGCATCTACACAGTGAGTGGTGGTTCTCAACTGGAACCACCTGGAAACTTAATAAAATATTCATGTCCCACTCCCAGCGATTTCACCTGGCTGGGGTGTGGCTGGGGTTTTGCAGAGCTCCCAGGTGACTGTGCAGCCAGGCTGAGAATCACTGCCTTAGAGGTGGAGGAGGCCTCGCTGCATGGTACAGACTGGGCTCCAGCACCCAAATCTGAATGCATTATTTTAAATGGGTGACCATTTCTCCGGGCAAAGCATCCATAGTATTTTTTTTTTATCATATTCTCAGTGGGCACCCAACCGATTAAGTGTCCCCAGTCCAGTCCAAATGTGCCCCCTAAGGAGGTGCCAAGCCCAATGTTCAGCTGTGGGGCTGACAAGCCTAATGGATAATGGATAGTGTGCAGACTTCTATAAAGAGCCTACAGCAATTACAAATTAGATCAACCTGATGTGGTCACGTGGACTGTTTCATGCTGCTCAGAATTGCTTCCTGGCACTAGCATGTGCCTTCGATTAATAAAAAATGAGAAATGAATTATTACTTAATGCACTGGGTTTGGTAGGCAAAAATCTTCAAAATGTAAGATCCATGGAACAAAGTAATCAAAGGGATCCTTGGTTATTATAGGTTGGCAACTACCGGTCTAATATAATACCCTAGAGATGAAGGAACTTAGGCCCAGAGAGGTTATGGGACTGGCTTTAGGTCACACAGCTAAAGTTAGGACCCTTCCCCTTAGGCATGCTGCTGAAGCAGAAAGGAAAGGTGCAGGACATTTTGCTGGAAACTCGCACTTAACACAATTCCATAGACCGGACTTGGGAAATGCCTCACTGGCCATGGGGTTGTGTGGGCCAGAGATAGCGTACACTCACCGAGAATGTACAAACCTAGTGTAGTCCGGGATCTCATCAAAGCTGAGACACATCAACTGTGAGAGACATCATTGTTTCCTGTACCACTAAGAAAAAGTCCTGCCCAGTGTAACTGTACGATGCCATTAATCCCAAGATGCATGTCAATGTTAGATATGCAAAATGTGAGAAAAAAACGGAACTGAAGCCTCTCACACTAGGCTCTCCCACTCCGTTCAGAGCTGCACGGCTGTGGGCTCTTCCACCTGGTTCTCTTACCTGCTGGAGGTGCTAAGGGGGATGAAACGGCACTTTGAAGAGCACCGATTACTTAAAAAGCAGAAATTAGTAGCAGAGCAGGCGCAGCCCAATCTATGGGACCCACGGACAAAGTCCTGGATCCGCCCTCAGAAGACCTGGGTTTGAATCTCAATTCTGAAACTTCCCAATGTTGTCATCTTGAGCATGTTTTATTCTCTCCAAGCCTCAATCTCTTCCTCTGCAAACAAAAATGTGTCCTCCTCCCCCCACCGCCATCCTCACAGAACCATTGCAGTGCTCAGAAGGTAAAATGGTAAGCTGAGTAATGTAGGTGCCTCATGCATATTAATTGCTAAGAACGCCCTTCCATTTGCTCAGCTGATGCCTGTGACTCCTGAGAACAGAGAGCCGCTAGATGACAGGGTGGGTCATGCAGAGAGTCCTGGGGCTGATGGGGCACCGTGCAGTCTTCATCCATCCGAGGAGGAGAACTGACCCCTAAAGGAGGCCCCCAGCTCTGTTCCAGGGACCCTTCCTAAGGAGGCACCCTGACCTGCCAGTCAGGACTGTCCTATCCCTGCCCCTTCTCAGGGCCGAAAGGGAATCAGATAATTAGCAGGAAAAAACATCTCCTGCTCAATCCTCCGAGTCCCAGAGAGACCCCAGCTGTGGGGTACCTATCCCTTCAATCCTGGAGACTGCATCCTGAGTCTTGTCCCAGCCCCTCCTCCAATTGCCCCTCCTCACCAGGCCATCCGGCAATTCACTTTCCTCTGGGAGCCTCCTTTCTCCCCCTATAGTGCAAAGGTGGAACTCCCCCCGCCCCTCCAGGGGCAAATATAGGGATGAATGTGGACTAGGGCGCAGGAGCACTGGGGGTAGGAGGGGCACAGGGTGGCTGGGCCTGGGGAGGCAAGAGGCTCACACACAGAGGTCTCCCCTCCCTCGGGGGACAGAGACTCACGGGCAATGTGGTGAGAAGCGCGGAGTGGGGAGTCCCACCTGGATTCAAAATCCGCCCCTGCAACGCAGGTGTGTGACCGTGGCCAGGTGCCCGGCCTCGCCACGCCTCCATTTCCTCACCTGTCCACTGGGACCCAGTGTTCTCCCAGGCTCTTTGAAGGACTGAATGAGGTGGAGCATGGCTCGCCGAGGGGCCACGGTGGCTCCCAGCAGCCACCTGCTCTGACTCGGGCCTCCTGCAGGTCGGGGGGGCCGCCGTCCTGGCCGTGGGTGTCTGGACGCTGGTGGAGAAGAGCGGCTACCTCAGCGTCCTGGCCTCCAGCACCTTCGCCGCCTCCGCCTACATCCTCATCTTCGCGGGCGCCCTTGTCATGGCGACCGGCTTCCTGGGCTTCGGTGCCATCATCCGGGAGGACAGGAACTGCCTCTCCACGGTGAGTGCGGCTGCCCCACACCCAGCGCTGCTGTGGCTGGGAGGAGGGAAACCTGGGGGGGGGGG